TTTATTTGATCTTCTTTTATGTCTTCCCAAATTTTTCATATTTCTGTCATATGTGCCTTGTCCTTCGTTAGAGAGAGGTGGGAAACAGAAAATAGTGCTTTCTATTGATTTTTTCTTTATAGTTTCAAAACTTTTAAATTTATGTATATGTTCTATTACCTCGGACACATATTTTATCATGGATTACAACTTTAATCTACAAAAATGTATTTATTTATTTTTTAGTGTTTTTCCATCTAAACATAATTGGGCTGAGATCATATTTGATTCCCATTTTACGTTTGCCTGATAGATTTTTGTACTTCTTTAAAAAAATTATTTTGACTTAGTTTCCTATTATTTTTCATGCCATTGGATGTTACTTTGAAGCATACCCTGAAAATATTTGTCTGTTAATAGGAAAATTTAAAACATGTATTTTTATGATAATAGTGGGTGGCATTCTGTCATCTTATTTTGTGTTTTTCCTCTGCTTTATGGGTCTTTTTAAATGTACATTCACTTTTCAAAAAATAACAACAAAAAAAAAACCCACTATTTTTGTGTACTTTTTTTTAAAAAAAGAAATATCACTCATTTATATTTAGTTATTAAATTCAAGAATAAAATGGCATTCTTTGATAACTTCCATAGTAAAACAGAAATGCCTGCCCATTTTATAATTTTGTCAATGCTACATACTTTTATCCATGAATTATTAAAATATTTTTTATAATATCTTATTTTTAACTATTATTTTTACATTTCTAGTTAATTTTGAAACCGTGTTTTCAATAATTATTCATATTTAGCTATAGGTTTAAGTGGTTTCAATAATTATTAACGATTCTGAATTTTCTGTTGGTCTCTAAGTATACTAAAATGTACATCTATGTCATACAAAATATCTGTCCCCCATTCCTACTCAAAAAAAAAAAAAAAAAAAGGAGAAAAAAAGCCTGGGACTCATCCACAAACAATATTCTTTTTCCTTTCACATCTATACCCATCTGCAAATTCCATCTTGATCTGCAGAATCTGAGCTCTTAATGTTTCCATAGCTGTTACCCTAGTTCAGCCCCATCCATATATCATTCATTGCAATTATTGCAATAGGATCCCACAGGTTTCTATCTGGTCTCAAACTATAATGAACTGTGATTCGCCAGCTCAATTGCTGCCACTGGCTCCCCATTTCTCTCTAGCAAAACCCAGGTGTACTTATTATTTGGGACATTTTCTCTGCCTTCTGCTATCCCAACCTCCTCCTTTTATACTTTCTTCTCTGTTCCAGTCACAATTGCCTCTCACTGGATGGTCTTGCAAGAGGGTAGTCAAGTTTACTGTCACCTGTGGTCATCACCCCACTATTGTAAGCTCTTCCCTCTGAGAGCTGACTCTTTTGCATCTTTCTGGTTTCCACCCAAACATCTTCTTATTTAAGAAGCCTGTCTGGTTTACTCTACATCAAGTTGTACTCTCTACTTCCTTCCCACTCCATCAAGTGAATGGTTAAGTACCTTCTCTGAAGAGCAATAGAATATAAAACTATGTTCCTAAATAAATGGAAACTCACATAGCTAAGAAAACAAGATAAATTCTAAACAAAGAGCTACATGGTAATTATAGAAACTTAGCCTTAAATAAAAGACTATGTGAACAGACGGGAACTATAAAGAAAATTTCCATTTTCTGAATTATGGAGATAAGATTGCACTGAACAATGCCATACTAGGGACTCTCAGGACAGTGGCCAATGAAGAGACAGGAGGGAATGAGTGGGCATTGTGTATGGTTCCATATTTCTCTGTGACTTGTCATGTTCATGGCTTAGTATATATTGTGCTACTCTTGTTAAAGGTACAAAATCTTTGCTTCCTGGGAAAACTTGATTAACCAAAGAATCTTCTTGGTTTCACTGGCCTCTTTCTCTTCCTGCCCACGTCATATGATGAGCTCATCATGTCACAGAAATATGTAGACAGCATAATGAACCCTTCTTTTAGGGAAGAATGTTGATCAATTTCCTTGATAGGCCAAATATTTACAGTAATTTTTGTATTCCTTTCTTCTAGGAAACTGAAGAGGTTAGAAAATTGTGTCCATCATTTATTGTTCCTAAGACACAGTAAGAGCTATTGTGCCCTCCTTAAGATGGCAAACTCCACAAAGAGCAAGAGCTAGAAACCAATTTTGCCAATGATGAAATCTCTCCTCCAAATATTATCCTTGACAGTTGAAATGCTAAAGAAACTGTCCCTTGCATATTCCAAAAATGAGGTGTTTGAATTAGAACAACTATGTTCCAGCTAATCATCTATACCAGCCACTCAAGACACCACAAAATCTCTCTCCTGCTAAGCAGGTACCTAGTCAAGCTCTCAGGACCGAGATGTGTTTTGAATGCAACTTCTTTTGCTGCCAACATAATCTGTTCTGACTAGTGATAAAAGAAATCTCACCAGCAGAGGGCTGAAAAATAATATGGCAACAAAAGAAAGTCATGTGACATTACCTTGGACAGAGAACAAAGGGGATGGCAGAAAATCTTTTTGGCTTGTTCTATCTCTTCATATTCTGAATCCTGAGAATTGTTACTGTATCAAATCAACCTAAGCCTCTTAAGAATAAAACACTCTTGCGACTGAGTTAAGATCCCCAAATGACTTCTTTATAGCACAAGTTCTTGTTTGAAGTATATAAATCTTCTTTTCTCAAATAGCATGTATAGCAAACAAGAGTTGGAGCACTTTGAGTGTGTGTGTGTTCTCCATGTCACTTACTACAGGAATTTGTGCAGTACTAATGTAAGCATTAAATTACCATGATGGAGATTGCTGGTGCATAGTGCCAATTAGGCCTCTGAACTGCACAAATAAAATCTGTTTAAATGGGACAAAGACTGGTTCCCACAATATGAGAACTTCTTTTTTTTTTTTTTTAACCTTTCAATACTGTAGCCTAGTAGGTTCTAAAAGGAGTTAATCGGAGATTAGCATGACTCTATCCTACCCCATCCCACTTTTTGCACTAATACACCAGACTCCAGAAAATAATCCCTTCAACTGCTGGTGGACACTCTGCATAATTGTGGAGTAACTTAGAAACTGTCATCTGAAGCTGAAGGGGGCATGTTATTATTCTACGTGAGAAAACTTACTTAAAAAAAGAATGAAAATATGAAGTTGGGACTGTCTGCAGTTAACCATATCATCTGTCTTATAGTCAGTAAACTGCATTAGTAAACAGCAAGTTAAGAAAGTAAAGAGCAAACTCTTTCTCCAGAGAAACATTACTTTGGAAGCAGTCCAAACTTCTAAAAAGCCATTGATGTACTGAAAATATAAGGATTTACAAAAGGCTACACAGAAAGACCTGGATTTTCCAACATCTCTAAAACACCTCAGGTATTTCTGATAAGCAAACAAAACATTGCAGAGCTTGGCCCGTCATGCATGTCCAAGTGCAATTTATGATTTATTATTTTCTACTCACTAGTTGAAATACTTTCCCATAGTTTCCCATATGTGATATAACTTGAGGAAGAGATCAAAATCCCAAATGGGTTCAGAACCCCAACCTTTTCCGATTTAATTTCTGATATACATCAGAGGTTGGCCATCTCATCCCACAGAACAAACCTGGCCCACCATTTGTTTTTGTAAATAAAATTTTATTAGGACACAGCCATGCCCATTCATTTACATATTATTTATGGCTGCTTTCATGCCTACAATAGCACTGCTTTGTAACAGAGATGGTACAGCTCATAAAGCCATAAATATTTACTATCCGGCTTTTTACAGAGGTTTGCCAACCACTGGTGTATATTATTAGAAACATGAGTAGCAAATTTATCTATCACTAAAGATACAATAAATTCCTTTATTATCAGCACTACCATAAACCAAAGATACATAAAATATGTCATTAGAACTCAATCTTATTTCCAAAGAATTTAAGAAAAAAATTGTCTTCAGAATCAATGTTTGTCTCAGATCTCCTGCCATGTCAGAAAACAGTCATTTTCCATTTCAGAAAATAAACACACATATCCAAAAGTGTTCTTTTATTATTTCTAGTAATATATATTGTATAAATACTCTATTTTTATATGCACTTTTACAAAAGCGATATAACTTAAAAGTTTTATCATTAGAAATAAATGTATAAAAATAAATATGTTATTATAGGCATTTATTACAAACTGTAGCCCTTCTTAGAAGGAACACACAAACCAATACTTATAAAGTACATATAATTTATAGTAACACACTTTACTATATACATATGGAAAAAGTCATATTATCTCTCTGTAGAAGAGCTGAACAGACATTCACCAGGATACGACTGTTGGACCAGCTGCCGGGATGGACCCGCTACCCCTCAGCAGCCTCCTCACCATGAGACAAGTGATCTCAATGTCCCTAAGCCCAGGGGACACTGTTCTATGTGCTCCATTCTTGCTCTGGCATTACATCCTTTTGTGTGGTCTCACTGACTTCTTAAGACACAATTCACTTTTCCACATCCACATTCCCACAGCCGGCTTACATAAGGAGGAAGGTAGACCAGAAGTACCAAACTCATCATGTCACCTTGAGTTTTTATCAGCACCTCCTCGTACTCTGCTGCTTTTCTTGGTCTTGTAGACTTGATGCACTCTTAGAAATATATGCATTTACGTGAACGACACAGATAAAGACTGAGATGGTACAAGGCATTAGAGAAGGAGCTATGAGCCTTTCTCTCATGTTGGACAATCTGAACTCTTCACTCTTGATGGAAAAGATGCATAAACATTCTCTGATACCATAGCGGCCATAAGGAGTGCTGATCAAATACCCTCTTTGTACTCCTTTCTTCCCCTTTTGTTAGTGAGGTAAAGTAAGCCATGTCTTAAACAAAATTTCATCTTTCTTCTGCTTTTCATTCCCAACTTGCATGGTACAAAGCATTTAACCAGTACCAGGAAGTAGGGCTTGCAATATAAAAATATTGGCTTATTTTGACAATTGTTTTTGTGATAGATGTAACAAAAGAAATAATAATAATAATGCCCTGGGGCTTTTCATGCTATATCATTGCTCACAGGTTAATAATCCTCATTAACTAGCCTATCAGATTTGTAACTGGCAGGATATTCTCATGATCTAACTCCTATTTACCTCCACACTCCCACATGATTGACACACCTCACTGGCTACTGGCAAGATACACTGAATCCCTCCAGCATTCTTATTCAGTGCGTCAGTCCTTCCACACTGCCTTTTCCTCAAAACTGACCCTGCTTAACTGCATTCTGCTATCGTGCAAAAGTCTATGTAATGCTTAGGTTTCTTTGAAGGATCGCAATTCTCATGAGACAACACTCCCCCATCATGGGACAGGCACTTCAAGGTTCTCTTTTTGTAACCCTTCCCACAAGTCTTGGAACATGGTGACCATTCTCCCAGCTGCCAGTGTGGGCAAGGCAGGTCTGCACAAGGTCGGGTGCTTTCTGGTTTCACCTCCTTCGCACACTCAGATGCAGGCTGCCCGTTAATGTCCCGACATTCCACCAGTCTTCTCTGCAAACCCAATCCACATGACTTAGAGCATTCACCCCACTCTCCAATGACCCATTCTGAAAATGTAGGGATAGCATTGAAAGATTCCTTCTTCTTCTTCACGAAGTAGGTGTATTTAATTTTGGGTCGGAGAGCATTGCCCACAGTAAGAACCTGGATGGTTAAGGGCTCTTTGAGTGGGCTAAAGCTGCGGATTCTTTCCAGCGCTGCGGAGGAGCCACTATACCATAAGACCATACCTTTGTATGTAATATCTTGCTCTAAAGTGGACAAAGTGAAGTCACCGTTCAGGATATACGTGCCATCAGCAACTTTGATGGCAAGAAAACTGCCATTGTTTCTGGATCCCCTCTGATTCCGGTGTTTCACGTCAATGTTTGTGGCTCCACTGGGAATTGTGACAATATCATGATATCCAGGTCTGCAGGCAAGAAAAATAGAGGTGAGTCTTTCATTCATCGACTAATTGATTGGAATCATTTCTACTGAGGATTGAACTCAGGTGCACTTGGCTACTGAGCCGCATTCCCAACCCTATTTTGTATTTTATTCAGAGACAAGTTTCACTGAGTTGCTTAGCCCCTTGCCATTGTTGAAGCTGGCTTTGAGCTTGAGATCCTCCTGCCTCAGCCTCCCAAGCTGCTGGGATTACACACATGCACTACGGTGCCTGGCCCTGATTGGAATAATTTCCAATCTAATTGGAATCTAATCTAATAATTTCTAATCCAATTTCCCCATTGCCATAAAACAGTACATTTAAATTATGAGGTATCTGAGAGATGTATTTTAAAACTTACTTTGCACTAGCAATGGATCCTGATACTTTCTTGCATGTAGATCCATTTCCTCCACAAATACCACATTTGTCAAACTTCTTTTTGGAGTCTATGATGTGATCACAACCAGCTTTTACACACTGTCCTTGCACACAGACAGAAGTGGAGTCTGGACTACATGGAGTACCATCTACAACCTGAAACAAGGAGGTCATATGTCCAGTGTTACTCATCAGAAGAGAAGGAACCTGTGCTATGGTAACTATGAACATTTTTCTTGACTACACTTATTAAAGTAATATTTTTCATACATGTCATGCACTTTCCTTTTCTTTGGCTTTCTTTCAGTGAGTTGTATAAGCATCTGAGGAAATTATAGATTTTCTGATTATCTGTTTATTGGCCTATCTTCCCTACAGCTAAGATCAATGAAGCTCTGTGCAGGTCAATTACTTTACTCCTGTATCCTTAGTGTCTAAAGTAATATCTGACAATAGACGGTGCTGCATAAGTGGTTCATTGAATGTTTAATCTGCTATTTGGGAATATTTTCATAGCCTACAATACTAATGACAATGTCAACCAAATTAAATTCTATTTTTTAATTTGAACCAGATTTAACCCCGTGGCCAAACCACAAGAGAGAGGATGCTTCTTGTTCATTTATATGTGCTCAAACATACAAATTATCAATGCTCAGACTTCCATTTTAATGTTTCCATGTTACTGCTAGTTACCCAGTAACAAGTTCTTTGGACCATGCCTAAACTATTGTCCAAAACTACTAGTAGTTGTGTTAATATATAATATATTTAACCACAGTTACAGGTGAAACCTAGTTATACACAGAAGCTCTTGATTTTCAAAGGGTTTTCCTGGTACAGAAAAGGACTAATGCTAAGCAATTGCCAGAATCTCAAGTGCAGAATTTAAGTTTCATTCATAACTGGAAGCAATAATAAACTCAAAGCAGGCAGTTGCTAATGCATTTGGAAAAAAAGAAGTCTGAATTTAGACTTCTTTTAAAGAAAGCAAGTCAAGGATGCATGAAAAAAAAAAAAAAGTAGCAAGCCAAGACCTTGGCTCCTAGATGGGGGAAAAAATAATGTACAAGTGTCTACCTTGGGCTGTAAAACAAAGAAGTAGCCGATTCCTTTGGCTTGACAAATGAGCTTGCACCTGTCCTTTGGTGAGACACCAGCATACTTGGGGGTCCACTCCACCACAGGCCCGCTCCCAAAGGCTTTTGAAAACTCATTGTGTGCCTCACACTGTTCCTCCCTAAAGGTTTTTCCTGGAAAAAGAATGACATAATGACATTATCAGTTTCTGGCCTTGAATTGCCTTTTGTGTACTCATCTTATTTACCCCATTTCTGAAAGCATAAGCTCACGGCTGCTCACCATTGTTGTCTGGACAGTCCTCCACGTTACAGGACCTGTAGCGCACTCGTTTGCCTTCACAGTACTTCCCTCCATTCTTTGGGACTGGGTTGTCACATTCCCTTATTGTATACTGAACTCCTCCACCGCAGGTTCTCGAACAATCTCCCCAGGATCCCCATGATCCCCAGCTTCCATGAACAGGGGCCTAAAGGGCAACACAAATCATCAGTGTCAGAATTCTCCAAAGAGACCACTTTAGGGAATAAAAGAAAAAATATGAAAAAAAGACTGAATTCCAAAAATAAGCTATCTTGCATTCCCACTGGAGGAATTCCCACAAATTAGGGTAGTATTTATCTTGGCCAGAAATCTTTTAACATCACTTCGCTTTTTCACTTCTGAATTTTAAAGGGATGTAAATATGTTCTGGGGGAAAAACTCACATCAAAATGCTTCTTGTCTGTCTTGTTCACACACTTGCTGTTGATACACCATTTCCCTTCCCCACAGCTGGTGCCATCCGCCCAGGGGAAGTGCTTGGTTTGGCACATCAGCACACCAGAGGGCGAGTTGACATTGCACCACAAGGTGGCACACGTGCTGGCTGGGTCTGGGCAGTGTTTGGACTCTTCCCCAAACATAAACTGGCACTGCCGGTTTACGTCATACAAGGTTCCAGGGAGATCAGATGGTAGCCTTATGGGATTCTGGGGCTTGTCCATCAAACATTCCCCTACAAAAAAACAACAAACAAAAACACATTATTAATGAGTAGTTAAAGAAATAATGCAAAGTGTAGATCATGGTTTCTCAAAATATTCATCATATGAATTAATACATAGCAAAGTAATCTAATATGCAGAGCTTTGGGAGAAAATGCCAGAGAGATTTATATTATCACTAAGATATTATGCTTAATAGGGGATATCTGGATTATCAATGACAGGAAGCTATTATTCTGCTAAAATATGAATGAATGGACTCTGGGAGCTACTCAGCCAGAAACATTATCTTTTATCAGGAATTAAGATCTGAATATCTATGAACTTGACAGTAAAATGTAATTTTGAAAATACAAAAAAAAATAAAAAATAAAAAGAGCTTGGCTGATTAGAACTCTATACATGAAAGTTGGGATGCTTTCTAAAGAGAGCAGCTAAAGTATCTTACCATGACCATTATCCAGAAATGATGTGATCATGTAGGCACTGCAGGGAGACCAAGGATGGTTGTGATCCAAATTGGAGAGCATTGAGGCCATCATGTGGGAACCCTGGTTCCCAGCGTTAAGGCTGGCACACTGCTTTGAATCATCATGAAGCATGTTCAACACGTGGCCTAGGAAGCAATCCAAAACCCAAATTAAAATACAGATCACTTGCAACAATACTTTTTTTCTCCCAACAGGGATTCATCTGTCTCCATGTCACATTTCTACAGGAAGAAGTCTATTTAGGAGACAATCTATTTTAGAGACAATGTCTATTTTTTTTTTTACCTGGTGTACAGAAATGTCAAGTTCCATATATCCATAGTTCATACTATTTTAGGTTTTATTCTAATAAACATGGTCATATTTCAAAGGGCAGAAACTATAATTTCTAAGACACACTGGTACGTAAAATAGCAATATAATCTGCAGACTCTCCTCTCAAATATATTGTTTCATCAGTTTGAATTCATTAATTGGGCTTTAATTTATACTCTGAAACAGACTTACCTAATTCATGGGCTGTGGTGAAAGCAGCTTGTAAACCATCATCTTCTATGACTGAGCAGCTTCTGCTGGGATCACACACAGTTCCAACATCAGCTATTCCAAGAGTATCACATGTCTGAGTCCCACATAAGTCCTATAAGGAGTAAAGATCAGTCTTTATTAATATGAACAATAGGAACCTTTGCATTTTAGTTTCTAGCAAAGTGTGTCTTTATCCACATTTGGGAGCATTTACATTCATTATTGTTTAGCTAAAGACTTTATGTAACTCTAATCAAAACCTGTCCTAATGTTTTTAAAAACTGAATAATGTAAAACTTGAGACATTAAGATTACAGCTGAAAATAAGCAAGATGGACCATGCTAACCAATTTAAAAAATTAAGTGAAAAAATATTATTGAAATCTTTTTATTCAGTTGGTATTATGCTGATTCCTAAGTGGACAATATGATCATTGACATTATCTCCTTCTCACCTCTCTGGTAAAAAGAATCGCTGTGTCATAGTGTTCTGCATCCCGGTCACTGGGAGGATTGTGCTGTTTTTGCCAGTTGCAGAAGTTCCGCAAAGTGAGTGCAGCATTGGAGGTCACTTCTGGCCCCTTCTGCTCCTCATAGATAACTAAAATCTTCACCACCACGAGGCTGATGGAATTTCGAATGCTAGGGTATTTGTACAACCTGGCTGCCACCGAGAACAAGGTGAGAAGGTAATGTTTTAGGTCACTGCCATGGAACTCTGCCATTGACTGGTCGGCCACAAGCATGGTTTCCACATAGCGGGGGCTGGACACAAATCGCTTCTTTCTTATGCTTCCAGTTCCTGTAAAGAAACAAGGACAGTTTGCTTGTGGGCAGTCTCTCCAAGAATAGTTACCTTCCTTGAGTATATAAGGAAAGCCTAACTAGTCAAAGCAAATAAAACCCAAATATACTTAGAAAACAATAACAAAAATATTTGCACGTTTTTATTGAAAATGTTATTTTTAAAGTTTTTTGTTTTTTTCTCTTTTGCTTTAAATAAAAAGACCGTGTACTCCTTGGAGTGATCTGGCTGTTTTCATGTGTAAGAGAGCAGGGTTTCTTTTGTTCCTTTGAAGTCACATCACCCTACTCAGCTGTAGTAAAAACTTGGAGCAAGGGCAGCAGGCAGAGTGCCCTGAGTCACTCTTTCACTCTTGAGGCCAAGACTCAAATCCTGAATGAGATCATCGGGCTCCACGTGGAAAGCCTAGGGCAGGGCTGGGGCTGCTGCCAAGGGGCTGGGCCTGAGGAATCTCAGCCTGCATTGCTCAGCTTTCTCATTCCAGGGGTCCCTTGGGTGTTATGCGTTTGCCAATTCCGGGTACAAGGACCACCCACTCTGCCCAGCAGCCTGTTGCCCCAGAGAAATACGTTTCTGCCTCAAACCACCGTTCATCATTTGGAAAAGAGCCCTCGGACTACGGACTGAGAGTCATCTCGCCGGCAGGTCCTAAACTGGGCTATGACCGCGTAACTCCTCCCAGGAACATAAGAGCAAACGCAAAAGGGAAATTCAAAATCAAGACACGTGGAAAAACTTAAGGAATAAAGACATCGGAGTGATAAAATGGAAAAAACTGGATAATAAGCACTGCACACAGAGACTCAGGAGAAGACTGGAGACATAGCAGGAAAGCCACTAATACTCAACAGTGCTAGAGAGTAGGATTATGGCCGCGAGAGGGAGCGCAAATCGGGAGGCGAGTAGGAGGCGCTGGGAGGCGGGGCAAGCTGCGCAAAGACCTCCCAAGCAGGTTCTGCTGAGCGGCCCCGCTGCCGCCAGCCTTCCAGGGTCAGACTTTAAAGAGGGGGAAGGGAACAGAAGCCCACAGAACAGATAACGCAGTAGCGCAGTCGCCTAGGCTCATAAGCACTGAGATCACCGTCGCTCTTCTGCCCTCTCTGTCTCCGCCCTCTTCTGAGCGCCGACCGAGAGCATGCAAAAACAGTAGTTACAAAACAGCGCGAAGCTGTAACCCAGTCAAAGCGCACACACAGAATCGATAAAAAGAAATTAAAGGTAAGAAGTCACAAATGCACACTTAACCAAGGTGTAGAAGTCAGGTAAAACGCTCCCTTCTCTATTGAAATGTTTTGCCTAAGTCTGTCGAAAATCGATTTGTCTGTTCTTTCTTCGTTGTTCATTATTCGGTAGAATTAAATGGAATTAAATGTTCTAAACGTAGGATTTTATTAACTCAGACTTAGGCTCACCAACATTAACCTCAAAAATCATTCCAGGTCTCCGTCTTGTCTGCAGACACATTCTCCGGACTGCAAGTAGGAGTCTCCCAAGTCACGTTGGCTAGAGAAAATGGGGAGAGGGGAATGAATGGAGAACAAGTAGGGAAAACTTTTCTACCTGTTGGCTGTCCCACGTGTTGCGGCTCCGGGTCCCGCTGAGGCCACTGCGTTCCAAGGTCTTCTCCCTCATGTTCTGCACCCCTCGCGGGCAGGGTCTCATCGTCCATGACTCCACACTTGGCGCCACCACCGCCCCGCCGCCTCCGCCGCAGGAGATGGAACTGAGGCCGCTTGATCGGCTCCTCCTCGGCGGCGGCGGGGGCGAGGCGCTCAGTGGCAGCTGCGGGTGCCGGCTGGATGAAGAACTCCTCGCCTTGCAGGTAGAAGGCGCCACGCACGCCCTCGCAGAGGCTGAGGGCTGCGGCCGAGCTGGGGTCACCATTAACGGTGCCAGAGTAGAAGCAGTGTGCTAGGTCGCCGGCGGGGTCCAGACGCTGCGCCTCAGGCGCGGGTTTGCGCCCCACAGTCTGGAGTGTGAAGCCTGGCGCCAAGAAGCCGCGGTCGGGCTGCAGCTTCAGGTGCAGCCGCTGGCCAAACGCGTCTAGGCGGAGGCGCGTGGTCTCCTGTCCTTCGGCGCGCTCCAGGGCCGGCAGCACCAGCTCTTCGTCCTCCTCCGCGGGGCGCCCATGCACGCCGGGCATTATAAACAGCACTGCAGCCGCCGCGAGCAGCAGCAGCGTGGGTGCAGGCTGAGAGCTCCGAGAACGTGGCGCTCGCTCAGCGTTCCCCATGTCGCCGACCGGCCTGTGCCTTCGGGACTGCACAGGGACTGATCTTTGCATCAGAGCTCTGGGAGACGCGGCACTCTGAAGGAGGGGGAGCTGAGCTGGCTTTCTCCGGATTGCCAAAGATTTACTATTATTCTTTGAAAGTTAGCGGAGAACCGGCTACAGCCGAACCTCCCAGTCACTTAGAAGGCGCCGAGATTCTGCTGGCGCGCGGGAAGGTTTTCTTCCAGCGCAGAGTTGGAGGCACCGCACGGTGGGCGCTATGGAGTGGCCGCTGAGGGAAAAAGAAGCGCTCTAGGGCACCTCCGGGGCTGGGGGCAACTCGAGGATCGGTGCCTTGCGCTACCCTTCGTCCTCCGCCTAGTACTGCTCACTCTGAGCAGGACTCTTGCCCTCTCCGCCCGACTGTGCGCTCTAGCTTCGCAATAAGCGCTTGGCTCGTAGCGGCTTCCAGCGAGTGCAAGAACTGTGCAGCCCGGACCGCCCCTTTATAGCCCTGGAATGAGCCCCTCCTCCATCTTGGCCGCCTTTCCATCCCAAAGACACCGCCCCCTGAGCTCAGTCGGTGCTAAACCGCGCTCAGCGCCGCGGGCCCCCGGGGGGGGGGGCAGCCTCCGCGCTGGCTTCGTGCCAGGGCTCGTCAATCTAGGGGGAGGAAGACGCAGAACGGGCACAGTGACCAGCACTTTGTACAGCCTGGGCCACTCCGGGGGGAAAAAATTCTCCCTTCCACCACGCCTCTTCCCCGCAGACTTCCTGGACCACCCTGCCTTCTCAGCCCCTCCTTTGTGGGGTACTCAGTATACCCTCTGGGCTGCAGCTCCCAGGAGGGAGGGTCGGGGTGGATAGTTGGGTCCCTTTACCAAAATTTCCCTTCGCTGGAGTGGCCCCTAAGTTTCCCTCCCTGCCTGCATAGCCCTTTCTTCCCCAGTCTGGAAGATGAGCCGCCCTTTCTAGAAAGAATAGCCTGCCCACCTCTCCGTCTCCCTGGGCTGCCAGGAGCTCCTTTGCTGCAAAGCTCTCTTTGCCCCAACTTTTCTTAGGGAAAGCTTGGTTGGTGTTGGCTCTGCGTTCGCCCTGTACAAACGGTCTGGGGGCACATCCTAGACTCAGGATTGTAAAATGGGTCTGCATTGACCTTTACTCTCTTCCCTCTCCCCGGCCCCGCGCCACCTAAGACTTTTTGTGGGGACCCGTGTTCCCATTTCCTTAATAGCTGATCTGGAACGGGGTTCATTTCCTAGAGCCCATGGAAGGAATAGGGCTTTCTCTTCTTCATTCGAGAAACTAAGTCCCTCGGATTGCCCACCTAAGTGCAGCTGCTGCAGGCCATAGGCGAGATGAGCAGAACCATTAAGGACCCCCCCCCCCCCCACACACACACACACACTTTGCTATTCAGGGGCAGCGGCGATCGCGGAGGATAGAAAATATGTCGTGGAAAAAAGAGGAAATGGATTTACTTCCCCACCCCGCCCTCCTCTTCCTAGTAGGAAGGGAAAAGCATGCGTCCGTGTTACGAAAGCGACAAAGCTGAGCCTTTCCACCCCCAGGTCCCTAAGAAAAAGCTGAGCGGCTCTTCCATCGAAAAGGGAGGGGCTCAGTGCTTCAGAGGAAGGAACTGTTTCACAATGCGCTCACAGGCGGAAAGCCACTGGGACAATGGTGAGAACGCCAAAGCCCGGGGTAGACTCTCGTCCCTCACATTCGCTTTCTACCACTTCCTGGCCCTTCTCGGTCTCTCTCGGGTCTCGCCGCCCCACCCCCACCCAGTCCCTCCGTAGGCTCCCAGTTGCTCTCGGCTGTGCCTTGCTCCTCCCCAGATCTTTCCAACTCCAGTTGGCCTCAGTCAGAAACACCCCCGGAGTCCTCTCATTGGTCCCCCAAAGTTTTCTTTTAGGACTCTTACCAACACCTTTTCTCTAAGCCTTCTAGATTGCTTACTTGAACAACAACAACAACAACAACAACAACAAAAAAAAAAAAAACCAAAAACTTTGCTTCAGGAACCATCAAATTAGAAAGAATGACAGACAGAAGCAAAACACTTTACCCTTCAAGGGTTCCATAACACCGCCTGGTCCTCAGGCCTTCCAGAATGGGTGGTCTTAACTGTAATTTTGGTTTCTTCAGCTCGAACTCATAGTTAAAAGTTGAATGATTAACTCGAAAACATATTTTAAGAGCACATTCTGCATTACCAGTTTTGTTACTTGCTCTTCCACGTCTCCACCACCTATCATTCTGATGTTGTTTGAGCTACCTCCTTGAATCTTGCAGCAATCCGTCTCGTATCACATTGGATTTCTCACTCATGTATTTAATATTGACATCCACACTCATGTATCATGAGTGGCCATTTAGTTCTATATTGTCCAGTCAAACTCCTTCTCTTCATCTTTGAACTAAGAAGATTATTCCCCTATTCCTCACAACAGGCCTTTCCCAAACATGGAACATCTCTGCTCCCTAGTTTGACTTGCAGACATTCTTTTACATTTCCCTCTTTTGCATCCTATTTTTTATGATCTCATTTTATTTCATTTGTTCATTCTTTCTAACGACAAGAAAGTTTAGAGATTGGAGAGGACATTGGAAGAAAGTTATCTTAGACTTATTTCTACAGAATTATGAAAACATGATGGTAAAGTCATCAATACAGTTTCAAATCTCTAGCTTGCAAGAGGGCTCAGAATGCATATGGTAACCAGTACTGGGAGCTTCACACTGGCTTTGAGATAGAGATATCAGATACTTGAGGAACCCTGGGGAACCAAAAGACTTTCCAGGTCTGGGACGGTAAGTGTGAGTCCCTTGAATTGTGGCAGAAAGGGAAATTAAGAAGAAGCAGAAAATGTGTAACTTTAAATAAAAATTGTGTAATGTATTCCAGTCTGTCAACTGCCCTTACATATATGCTTCAGCTTTTAAAATACATTAAAGCAAGTTTGGCCTTTGGTTCGTTTCTGTCTCCTGTGTGTTCTTATTGGAAATTTATTTAATTCAAGGCATACATTTCTAATCTTGAATGGGTTATTTCAAATCCATTATAATTTTTTCATATTTCATGTTGTATATCCAAATAGAGCTGATAGAAACACACACACACACACACACACACACACACGCACACACAGTGAGTTCAAGGCTAAAGGATTGCCAGGAACATGGCTTTTTTATTCTTTGGGTTACTCTCCAGATTTCTGTTCTTTTACATAATGACTCCAATCTGTTGTGCACCTGTAGTTCTGGGAAACGATTCTTTTTTAATCGCTTCAACAGAGACATGAATGTAGGAGTTGCCAGTTACTAAACTGAAAAACTCCATGCTCAGAAGAACATCTAATCCGCTTACTTTTTTTTAAAGACCAGCACTCTTCAAGTGTTTGTAGTATTATGTAAATATATACATATGATATTATACTTACTTATAAGCAAAATGTGAATTTGTTCATGGGACTAATAAGAATGTTGCACAATAGTTAGTCCTTGTATAAGTTTCACTCTCGCATCTTTATACAGTTTTTTGCTCCTTGATTTGAACGTGCACCTAGAAGATCACATATTGTTACAATCCCTCTTCCCCATATTTTTGCTTTTCTTTTTATAAAACACATATGGCCTTGTATAAACATGAATCTTAATATGTTCTAATATGTTAAAGTTTTATTGACTTTAACCATTTTTATTATTTGTCAGGATGACCTAATAACAATTCAGACATTTAATGTAAAACTTCTCACAATGAGTGATTTGACTTTTTAAAACATTTTTGTCCTTTCTGCACAAAGGCACTTTCTGAAAAATAGAAAAGTATCATGACTTTTAAAGTGAAAGAAAGAAAATATTAATGTCTGTTTAATCCTTGTATGTTTGTATTGTTTCAGTGATTCATTTATTACAGAAACAGTGCTCCATAATTCTATAGCAAAGCAAGTATTCAACAAGCAGCCATGAAATGGGAAAATCTGGTAACGTATGTGAGCTACTAGAATTGTTTTAGTGTGGACATGTGTATAGAAACTACTAATGTGCATATTTTATAACCATGGAAGATTTTTTATTCACATTTTCATACCATAGGATTTACCAGTTAGAAGTAGGAAAGCTATTTGACATTAGGACTGCTTTAGGGAACATATGTTCATGCAGCATTAGTGGACAAATGGTTATTTGTTGAAAATTATTTGATTGCAATTGAGAAAGTAGACACAAAACATCTATTTTTAGCAGGTTACATTTTCAGAACTATGACAAATATTGAAGACAGAAAATTTGTTGTAAATTGCATTAGAACTAAAATATTTATATAAACCCCAAATCATGCATTTGTAGAACTAAGAACAGCATGATCTGAATAAGCCATTCCCTTTGTTTAAAAGATGTGAAGTTGAGCCTCAAAAGGGTTAAGCAACTTGCCTAACATGATAGAGGCCGAGTAAAATTGGGAGCTTAGAAATAAATGGCCCTGATCCAAAATTTTAATGAAATACTCCTTGGCATTTTAATCTACGTAATTGTTTGTAAGCGAGTTTTTTTCACACTTATGACTGATTTTGTTTCCAATTATTAAATTTCACTTTAATTATTAATACGAATTTTCTAGCAATAAAAAAATTCCACCTTAAGACTCACAGCCTTTAGTACCTCTTTCTCAGCCCACAAGGTGGCGATGATCTACAACAAATGATGTGCAACCTGCTTTTCTTAATAGTTCAAGTCAGGAATTTCCAAAGGTCTTACACATCTTCAGTCATATGTAAAAAACTTCTATGAAATTTTCTCTTACCTTCTTGGGATTACATAAAATATTTTTAGAATAGTACAAGATAAAATGTGTGTGTGTGTGTATAATTTTTTTAAAAAATAATAAAAACACTTTAGTTAACTATGGAAGTAACCACCTACTTTTTAATTATGTGGCTCTATGAGTTTAAACCAAAAATCAACTATACATAAAAAAGAAAACTACCTCTGACAAAAGTACGCTATTTTATCACATTTGAGAGCTCCATGCAGTTGAAATGAAAAAAAAAATCATACATTGCAATCCA